CAAGAGGGGAATTTTAAACATTTAAAAATGTCTACTCAGACAGTGCATAGTTACATCAGGTACCAAGGACAAATATATCGAATCTGACACGAGATAAGGGTGCAGAGTTTGTAACTAAACACGGCGCAAACCAAAGTTTCAACGTAGTTAAAATTTGCAAGACTTTAGAACGTATATACATATTTAAATACACGAGACGACGTTTAAAAATGGCGCTATATAGAGGTAATTTAAATAAAACAATATAGTACTTACCGCAAATGTTAAGCCAGCCTTCTACTCTGCGCTGTATTACTTTCTGTTTAGTCATGGTTACGTGTTATAGTACACGCTAAACACAGCTTATAACACAGTTGCAGAACCATGTGCTAAACGTAACCACACTCGACCAAGTCATACTATCGTTTAAATGTTTTCTTTTAGCGCTCGGTGGCGCAACAAGTGCTCTGCGCAGGCGGACTCGTTCCTAGGTCATTCACATGTTACAGTATATTTGCTAGCGGCCATGTGACGTAGGATAACGTATAACAACAACGATGACCAACAACCGGTGTTTGTGCTTCTTATATCTATCTTTGTTTCTTCGGGCACGTCACTTCTTCAAATTTTTACTATTTTTAAATGTAAATATTTATACAGGATATGCTAAATCTATACGCTTTGGAATTTTTTCTGTGTAAATAATTTTTCTTTTATCTTCTACTGCGTTTTGGATAATAACAATTCGTTTATATCTAGTGTTACAGAGGCATTGTTCTATAAATATGAGTAATAAAATATTTATATCTTTAGTTTAAAACAGAAAAATATTTTTTGATTTAAATACAAGAATTAATTAAAGTTGAAACCATAATTCTAAATTGTTGATTCTTTGTAAAAATTTGAACAGACCTGGCATTGTTCTAATTGTGATGGTCATTGTCAGGCCTCCATTTAGAGGGAGAAACTTAAGCAGTCACTTTAAAGATACTTCTTATGTGTCCTACCGATTCTGTTTTATTCTATTGTCTCTGCTATATTTTTTTTGTTATTTTTTTAAAACTAATCTACATAAAGTAGCAATTTGCATTGTTTTCTGTACATTTTTTAAAACATACATATTTTATGTAGATTGAAGCCTAAAAAAGTATAACAAAAAGTCTTTCAATGGAATGATAGTAAAACTTTGTTTTAAATAAATTAAAAAAAATATATCTGTATTATATAATGTTATAAAACAATTCATTCAAATAACACATTTAAGTACTATTATTATTATTATTTTTTAATATAAATTTGATTACATAAATTTTGTATAATCATATGTACAAATAACAAAATATTGTTAAAATTTTAATTCAGATTGATTGATTGATGAGTCAGAAAAAATAATTTATACAAAACTGCTTTCAAAAACCGTTAACAATTACAGTTTGTCAGGTTTTATTTAATGGAGATATTTATCAACATCAATTCTATGATTTGCAGTTAAAAACATGATTATGAACTGTCCACTGTAAGTAAACCAGTACACCATATCAAGAGAATATTTCATATTTGATACCATCTATTTTCACAATCTGCAAAAGAAAAGTAGTTTAATGAATTAAAAAATAATATATTTACAGGCCAGTTAAAATTAACCTATGTAAAACAAATAGTGGGGGAAAAAAAACTTTTTATAATACAGTAGAATCCACTAATTGTGTCTATACTGATAACAATAACCAAATAATGGCATAAAGTAGTGTAATTAAATAAGACTGCAATTAGTGAAACTTCTCATTAAAACAATTAAAAATATTATCAAAAAATCTTCAATTTATACAATTATAATTAATAATTATTATTATTAACTTACATGTTTTGGGACATCGTAATTACAATAAGCGAGTCTACTGTATCATAAAAATGTAATTAGTGATTATAACTAAATAATGATCCATTCATTTTATAGATAATTGCAATTTTTAAACCCTGGTAATATAATTTTTGTAAAAAGTTATTAATATAAATATGTTTTTGTGATGACTGGATATACAAAGTGGCCAAGATATATATATATACTACTGCTCTGAAATGGATCTAGGTTTGAATCTGGATTAAATTCTCAGCAATCTTTAATGAATGTTATGAACTCTCCCAATATCTAGCTAAATCTTTAATGAGTATTACTAAAACTCCTGTTAATGTGCATAGAAGAAAGCATTAATATATGTATTATATATCTTATATTCTTTAAAAAGGATTGAAATATATATATTAAAACCTGTCTATTATAAGACAGATTAATACAACACTGGCATATTCTCGATTACAATGCACACTTTCTTTTTTTTTTCGACTTTCAACTCGGTCGTTTTCGTTCGCCCCTCAGTTACGTGTATTACGTCATCGATATACAAGCGCGTGGTATCTCTCCATCACTTTGGTTTTAGTTAGTTTACAGTATTTTTAAAGTTAAAATAAAATTATTTTTTAATATAAATTTGATTACATAAATTTTGTATAATCATATGTACAAATAACAAAATATTGTTAAAATTTTAATTCAGATTGATTGATTGATGAGTCAGAAAAAATAATTTATACAAAACTGCTTTCAAAAACCGTTAACAATTACAGTTTGTCAGGTTTTATTTAATGGAGATATTTATCAACATCAATTCTATGATTTGCAGTTAAAAACATGATTATGAACTGTCCACTGTAAGTAAACCAGTACACCATATCAAGAGAATATTTCATATTTGATACCATCTATTTTCACAATCTGCAAAAGAAAAGTAGTTTAATGAATTAAAAAATAATATATTTACAGGCCAGTTAAAATTAACCTATGTAAAACAAATAGTGGGGGAAAAAAAACTTTTTATAATACAGTAGAATCCACTAATTGTGTCTATACTGATAACAATAACCAAATAATGGCATAAAGTAGTGTAATTAAATAAGACTGCAATTAGTGAAACTTCTCATTAAAACAATTAAAAATATTATCAAAAAATCTTCAATTTATACAATTATAATTAATAATTATTATTATTAACTTACATGTTTTGGGACATCGTAATTACAATAAGCGAGTCTACTGTATCATAAAAATGTAATTAGTGATTATAACTAAATAATGATCCATTCATTTTATAGATAATTGCAATTTTTAAACCCTGGTAATATAATTTTTGTAAAAAGTTATTAATATAAATATGTTTTTGTGATGACTGGATATACAAAGTGGCCAAGATATATATATATATATACTACTGCTCTGAAATGGATCTAGGTTTGAATCTGGATTAAATTCTCAGCAATCTTTAATGAATGTTATGAACTCTCCCAATATCTAGCTAAATCTTTAATGAGTATTACTAAAACTCCTGTTAATGTGCATAGAAGAAAGCATTAATATATGTATTATATATCTTATATTCTTTAAAAAGGATTGAAATATATATATTAAAACCTGTCTTTTATAAGACAGATTAATACAACACTGGCATATTCTCGATTACAATGCACACTTTCTTTTTTTTTTCGACTTTCAACTCGGTCGTTTTCGTTCGCCCCTCAGTTACGTGTATTACGTCATCGATATACAAGCGCGTGGTATCTCTCCATCACTTTGGTTTTAGTTAGTTTACAGTATTTTTAAAGTTAAAATAAAATTATTTTTTAATCTTTTCTTAAGTACAATAAGAAAAATTGATTAATTAACACAGTAGAGCATCGATTATCCGACTCAATTGGGGACTGGGATTGGTCGGATAATTGAAAAGTATGAAAAAATCCATTATTAGTGTAGTATATTATTATATGCGATGTAATTAGTATATTAGTATTAACCTACTTCGTGTTGAATTTTCATCGATGTTAAGCCTAACAAAAATTTTTTAAAAATAATAATCGTCGCTATTGTATCGTTAAACATTAGAAAATCAAGCCTCGTTTAAATACTGGCTCCCTTTCATGGTCCAGCTAGTGTTGCCAGCTAAAACATGTAAAAATAATATTGAAGTAGCCAAGACATAGCCAAATATTGTAGCGCCACATCACTAGCGGACATTTGAATTTGCCGACTAGAACGGTCGGTTAACCGATGTGACGGTTAATCGATGCTCTACTGTAAAACTATTTTATTATTTTTTCTCATAATACAATTTCATTACATGGAAAAAGGAAGGTTGCCTGTAAAACTGATTTTTGCATTAATGCGTTTATTGTTTTTTGAGTATTTTGCCTGCGAAAATTACTTGGATATTATTTTTCTAAAAATATCGTGGAAATAAAGTAGATTGATACAGAAATTATTTATCGCACGTGTACTGTATATGAGCTTCAAAATAAATTTTATTAAACAATGAGATCAACCGATTAATAGTATCGTGTACAATATTTTATACTCCTAAGGAAAATACTGTAGATCTACGGTAAAATAAATTTCGTTTTCACACAGTTAAACTTCGCCGCTAATTGCCGTTGTGATAAACCATTTTCACTTTCTCTGAAGATCTAACGACCACACTTTGCATTTCTTTCGTTTTTCGGACAATTTCGACAAACTGAAATGAATTTCCTTTGTTGCTAGACTAATTCATTAACACCTGAACGTAATTTCGAGGGTTCGAAGAAGAGTTTAGACTAATTCGTTATATGAGGAGGAGGAAACGTTGTTGAGATGGATTCGAACAATAGTTTCGCGGAAGTGGTCGCTTATTACAGTTGCGTATGTTGTTTCGGATCAAAAATCGATGCCCACGGTCTATACGAAGACTATGTATAAACTATTCCGTGCCAGAAATTTTTGCCCGTTTTGACAGGTGCCCGTCGAGTGCGGGTGGTCGCCTAAGCAGTTATCACTGTATATATATATACACACACACTAAAAAAATATTGTAAAAAGTTATACAAAAGTAATTTGATTATATGAAATAAATAAAAACGGCATCATTGTTGAAGAGCTGCAAGCAGAAGTGTGTCATTTCAAAATAAAACAAATTAATTAATTGATTTTCTTTTGTTTACATGAATTCTCTCAGTAAACAATTTTTTTAATCGTACTCTTTCAAGTATCTATACATTGTAATGATGCGAATTCTTTACATCTATGCATATAAATAAACCTGTTCTAATTTTTATTTTATTTTTTAAAATATCACAAGAATAAATCTTGAGTTTATTTAGTTGTAATGTTAACAATTTTTTTTATCTTTTATTCAAAAGCATTTTTCAAACAATTGTATTAAATAATTGAGATGGCCGAGTAAAGCCAAGGACAAAAGTCTTGCTGTTGGTGAAGCGGTAAGTGGAATAATTATCCCTCTAACATTTACACCTGCCATTAAAAAAATGATTTAATTAGTCGAAATTTATTATTATCATATATATTAATTTTTTAGTTAGGTTTTTATTGCAAGTTGTTATTTAATTACGCACATTAATAGATTTAAAATATAATATTTCAATAAATTATCATATTTAATAAGATGAATTTTAGACTTTATAATTGATAAATATTTAACAAATATTTTATTTTGGGTTTAAATTTTGTAATCTCCAATACAAAAATATTAAAATCAGTTTTTAACATCTTAATTGAATGTGATATCTTTTAATTTATTCATTATCTTAAATCAAAGTTATTTTAATAAGACTATCATCATTAATGATAAATTAGAATATATAAAAATATGTTTAAAATCAACAGAAAAATTAAAACTTTTTATGTAAAGTTATTCTGGCAAAATATGTAAAGATGAAAAAAGTTATAATGCACTTCAAATAAATGATGAAAAATTATATCAAATATTAAATCTACAAGGCTGCTTTTTACATATGCTGGTATGTTCAATAAAATAGCCTGAAAAAATTATGGAAAATTTTTTATTTGTAGAATTTTAGAATGTTAAAAAAAAATATACGTTTTTCAATAAATTATCGTGCATATTCGAGACAATTGTCTCGGTGGAAACACAAAGATATACAGATGATATTATGGGTGATGTAGCATACTTGCAGTCACTGTTGTAAAAGTCTCTGGAACTCATTTCAGAAGTTTGACAAAACCATATGGTGATGCTGAGTGTGTCATAAATTGATGCTTTCGGGTGATTCCACAGGAAAAAATCTAGTGGTATCGAGCCCGGAGAACGTGGTGCGATTCGGCAACAAATTGACAGGACAATGTGGAACAGGACCGTGTTGTCCTATTGATGTGTTGCTGAATCACTCTAAGCCACTGATGCACTTCTGCCCAAGAATAAGCTGGTTCACTATCCTATTATCAAACTTGATGTAGTTGATCCAATGGCAACTCATCAATCAATTTATCCACTATTGTGCATAGGATATTAAGTCACTAGTCCAGGTGCTGTCAATGAATCCAGAGCCAAGAATTTGATCACTGCAAATGCCATACCTGATATTTAATGTAAATCATACTTGTTGTTGCATATTTTGCATGCATTGTGAAACATGCCATGCCCAATGTTGTACATTATGGCAGTTATACACTTCATTCCGCGGAAAAAGTGTCTCATCAATCCATAAAATGTTCTCAAGCAGTTGTGGTTTGTCCTAGTATAAATTTATCATAAGTTTGCATGTTTCACATAGCAATTGAATGCATGTATGTCATGGCAATGTAAATTTGATGTGTTTTTGATTTCTTCAAGCCATGTTGTCTTGCTGCTTCACATATGCTTCTATGTGGATATGCATGGAAGTATACCAAAATTTCAATGTTGTAAAGACAAGGGAAATCTGGATTGTAATCCCCGTCTATGCTACAGATTTGTATCAACTGATATATTACATTCAGAATGATTGTATGCTTAGGTCTTGTATGTTTCATCTCATTTTTCCCATAAAGTATAATCATTTTAGAGTAAAATGTTCATGAATATAAGAAATCGTTGCAGATTTCTACCAATTTGCAGACTGTACAATGTTCACTCTTTTATAAGGACACTGGCATCTTGTGCCATAATGATTTATTTTTGCATTTATTTTGCATATTGTTTCTTTGTTTGGAAAACATATATTGCCTCAAAACTACTGAATGACTTACACATATTCATTTTTTGAATTTATTTATTTATTTTACTGTAAACACTGCTGTGAAACTAATGCATCATATGAATATAGTCAAGCAGTGCTGGAAAGATCTTTACGCCTGGATAAGTTTTAACACTCATCCGGGTTTAAAGTGACCAGTCTGAATAAAGTAACATTTCTGTTTCTAGATTTCATTGAAAAAAATAATCTGTAAATAAGAAATATTTTTAGCTAATCTAACTATTTAGCTAATTTATTGCTATTTATTATTTTTATAATGTTTTATCTTAAGTAATTAAAAAAAAATCCAGTGACAAGTTGCTCAACTTTCCTGGCAATATTTGGTGGCACCATCCGTTATCATATTTCATTTAAAAACTTTTTATATTTTTAACTATTATAAAAATGGTAAAAAGCTTAATTTTGAGGGAAGAAATAGGTTTAAAAAAACATTGTAAATGCTAATAACAAGTAAAATTGTCATTTAGTCTGACCCTACTGGAGATGCGCACAATCTCCTTTTTCTGTCCACCCCCCTTGACCTTTAAATCACCAAAATTTAACAACATCAATCCCCCTAATAAACAAACCTCCCTGCAAAATTTCAGAAATTTTTGACAAAAGCACAGAAGTTATTAAGCTTTGAAGAGGGTTAACAAAATGCCCACATACTTACACTAACATCCACACATATAGAAATTACCCTTGAATATTTTTGCATTTCTTGACGTTTCAAGAGTCGTCAGTCAAAATATGTAAAATTCTTGGGGGGTTATTTTTTGACCGATTGCCATACTTTCCCTCTGTTATATATAACAACGAGGAAAGAAAAAAATCTGATTCTTTATCTAAAGACCATATGAAAACAAACAAGAAGGAAAGCCATAATCAAATCTATACTTTCAGCTGATGTATAATATGATGTAATCTGTTTTTAATCACTTAAATAAATGGCAACAGATAGTTACATTAAATAACTTAATTAAATCATACAAATCATACAAATTTCATGGAAAGGTACTATATACAATTACATTTATTAATCAGAAATTATGAAGCTAATTTAACAATCATAAATACTAAATTTATTTTAAGTTTGGTTAATGCCATATATATATGATTTATTTATTTATTTACAATAATTTATTTTAAGATATACCTAATAATATATAAATTATTAGGTATATCTTAAAATAAATTATTGTATAAATTATAAATTTTATATAAATTCAAAGACAAAAATATAATTAAGTGAATTTGCATCCTATGGCAGGGATGGCAAACCTATGGCATAAAAGAAAATTTGATGGCACGCACAATATGATTTTTTTTATTAATCATAACGAAATTTTATTTTATAAATTATAAAAATGAATTAGAATTCAACAATCAATACATCTTGAAATTTTATTTCCATTTGCCTTGATGAGTCCACCGACGTAACGGGTTCAGCTCATTTAGCAATTTTTGTACCTTATTTTGTTCAAAATAATGTTAAAGAAGAATTAATAAGTTTATCAACACTAACAACAACAAAAGGAGTAGACATTTGTAATGCAGTTATAGATGCATTGGGCAAAAAAGAAATATGTACAGTACTTCCAAAATTGTATCAGTAACAACTGATGGTACTTGCAGCATTATTGGATAGGAAAATGGATTTATAAATTTATTTACAAAATGTATTGGACATTCAATTCTCAATTTCCATTGCATTATTCACCAGCAGGCGTTACGTGCCAAGACAGGTTTGAAAATTTTGGATGATGATATGAGTTTGGTGACAAAAGTAGTCAATTTTATATCAGCAAGGGCTCTAACTAAAAGAAAATTTCATGAATTGTTAAATGAGGTAAACTCATCATACAATAGCTTATTTTTGCACAATAATGTACAGTGGTTAACCTGTGGAAATGTTTTGCAAAGATTTGTAGATTGTTTGGAGGAAATTAGATTATTTCTAAATAATGAGATTATTATTGAACAATACAGTCAATTAATGGATATAGAATGGCTGGCAAAACTATCTTTTTTTACTGATTGATATTTAACTCATTTAAGTGAGAAGATAAAACTACAAGGTGTTAATAAACCAATCATTGTAATGTTTGACTTAATCAAAGCATTTGAAGTCAAATTAAAGTTTTTAATTGCGACATTCTTTCAAATTCACATAAACATTTTTCGAAAACAAAAAAGTTTTTTCTGACATTGAAAGTCATGAAAAACCAAATCAAGAGAAATGAAAGAAAAACCAAATCAAGAAAAAACCAAATCAAGAATTTTCAGTGATAATTCAACCCCTGATCCAGGAATTTTATAAAAAATAAATTCAAAAATAGGATGCCGGACGAATCAAGCTCTGCATGTGTACTTTTAAAAATAACAAAGTATAATCCAGATATAAAATCCTTATCATCTAATATGCAGCAACAAAAATCACATTAAAAAAACAAATGTTTGTGTGTATTTTGTGAAACATTTAAATTACCCTTAATAAATTGTAACAGATGTAATTTTTAAAATGATATCATATTAATAAAATTGTTTAATAAAAAGCTTTCTTTCTTTGTTTATTGAATTATAATAATTTTTTTCTCAAGAGTAAAAGAAAAAGAAAAAACATAAAATAAAAAAGCAAAAAAGAGAAAAATACAAGAATCATAATTTATGCTAGACAATTTTAGTGTGTCACGTTAGTATTTTCATAAAGATTATTTATAAATTTGTGGCATGAACAATGAAAAAGGTTTGCCATCCCTGTCCTAGGGTATGGTTTGCAGGCTATTTAACCAGCAGTTAGCCTTGGTTGCTTGGAAGACTATCCAATTTGTGGATAAGAGACTAATCTGATTCTTTCTTTTTTCATTGTTTAGATAAGATACTGTTTTTTAGGTTCGTTTTGTTATTTTTTTCTTTGGCTAATTCTCCCAATTTAGGTTTAAGATTGAATTGACCTTTATATTGTTGTTGTAGGTTATATGTATCTATGATCTGTGTTAATAAATAAGTTGTATGATTTTGAAATTTTTTGATTTCTTCCTGCATCATGATTTTATCAGTATGCTAAATATTTTGCTATCAACCTCTTGCAGAAAGAAAGAAAATTAATGAATTCATCAAATTTCTAAGTTTTATTTCATTTTATTTAATTCAAATGTTTTGTTGTATCTGTTTCAAATTCAAAACTTGTAACTGTTCAGAATATTAATTTTAAATTTATTCTAATTTGCATATTTACACTATATTATTCTAAACTGTTTCATCTAAGATTTTAAGGTGAGGATGGTCAAATTTTGGCCATCCTCAGATTTTTTGCACTTTTTCAATCTGGTTTGGAGTTTTTCGAATACGAGGATTCCAGTTTGAAAGAAAATTTACTTAAGAGTAAAACAGATATTGCTTATTTAAGTGATTTATTTGGTAAATTTAATGATGTTAATTTACAACAGCATGGAGACAATTTGATTCTCATCAAAGCAAAATTGATCATATTGGCTTTTGTTGCCAGATTAATATTTTTAAAGCAAAATATTGCAAGATTTGAGCTTTCCCAGTTTCCCAACTTATTTAAGATAGGCACAATTCAAGAAGAAAACACCTTGCTGTATGCCAACCACTTGGAAGCTCTTCATTTTGATTTCAAAACCAGGTTCAAAGATAATCTATCATTGAAAATACTGGACTGGATAATAAATCCATACACTACAAGTGCAAAACTGAATATAATTTTGCAAGATGAGCTGATAACCATCAGCATGAATGAGGATCTCAAGATACGATTCAAATAGGGGTATCAAAAGTTTTGGCTGCAACAAGATATTCCACTTCTGTACACAGCTCTATGAACTGTTGTACAAAAATATTTGCTGGCATTTCTATTGTCATATCTGGTAGAGAGAGGCTTCAGTGTAGTTTTAAACTTGCTTCAGAACAGACATCAATTGCATATCACTGAACATGGAGATTTGAGAATGCAACTCGCTAATTTAAAACCAGACATAGATAAATTGTTGACAGATCACGAGATGCACCCATCTCATTAAATTCAGTTTTCTATGCTAATTTATTTGGTATTCTTAGTTTTATAATTCTGATTAATTAAAATCTTTTGTTGTAATTTTATTGACGTTTAATTCTGTCTGAATATGTTGATTTTTTCAATTCATTTTTATGTTTAATAAAGTGATTTCAATATTTGTACTTATTTTGAATTTACTTACTTATTTGATAAATGCCAAAAATTAAAAAAAACTCTACTTGTATTTTTTTTCTTTAATTTTCATTAGTGCAAGTTTCAATATTAAATGTTGCAGAAGATAATGTCATATTCCGTAGTCCTTTTATCATTTTCAATCATTAATTACAAGTGATTAAAATGAAAAGTTTGATACCTAGTGAAATATTTAATATCAAGTACTGGACAAATTTATTAATTTCAGTGAGTAAATGACTAAGGAATTGACAGTTTTAAAAAGTTTTTGGTAAAGGGGTATGCAGTCAAAAATGTTTGGGAACTCTTGATATAGATTACTAATTCAATTTTCAAAATTTGGTGAAAGACTTGTGAATATTTATATCTTTAAGATTTTTCTTTTTAGGATTTTTTTCTTCTTTATGAATAACTTTTAAATATTTAGATTGTATAAAAAAGTAAAACAAACAAGAGCATTGTAAATAAATTAAATCAAAGACATAAGCAAAAAGTCTATCATCTGTTTCGAAGAAATTCTTTTTAATAACCTAACATGATAAATTTTTTGAATGAAAACAATTTCTTTCCTTGCTTTTATTTAGAAGTAGCTTAAGCATGACAGAGTACTATAGGAATACATTCTAGAAAGAAGAAACTAATTTAACGCTACATTTATTTTTGAAGCTATAACCAGAACACTGATTTTATTAATCTCTACAGACAATGTTATCTGGAGAAAAAAAAATGTAACGAAACTTAAACATCTATATAGATTTGATTGATAAATTGGTAAAGATTTAGAATAGCATATAATTAAATTTTAAAAATTTAATACAGTTGTACATAATAAACATCAGATCTGGGCAGCATTGGCATAATCCTAAATGATTACATTAGATATACTAACACAAATTTGATACATATAGAAAAAATATTTATAATATAACAACCCATTTTCCTCACATGGTGGCAAATGATAAATTAAAGATATTATCACCATAAAGGTAATTTCATAATGTTTACCTTATTGCATTTATGTACTCTGTCCATTTTATTGTCCAATCCACATATGCAATTGATTATTAGTGATTAGTAATCTAATCATCAATAAAAAACTTTTACCAAGTAATCCAATAAACAATTTAGATTCATTATTTGGATTTTATGAGGAAAAAACATTTTGGAATGAAGGAAAAAAGTCTAGTTTTCTGGACTCACTTTTCTCAGAGGAATTCAGGAAGTGGCAGCAATGGTGCAACCACCCCAGATTTTTTCCCCATCAATAATAAGAACTTCATTATTTTGTTAAAATAATATGAATTTTTATCATTAGTTTTCAATTTTGTTAAATTTTTATATTTTGAATTTATGAAGTTTATATTAATAAGTTATTAAAGCAATAAAACTTTTAATTATTATTTTATTACATAAATTAAGAATCATCCAATAATTTACTCCTGATCTACCAATGACTTTTTACATACAATCATTCATTTCAACTATTTGAAAAGTATTCTGTATAAAAGTCATTTTTCATTTACTAAACTTGAGTATTACAAAAATTTGAAAAATTCATGAATATTTAAATATTTTAACTAAAGCAGAATAGGTTTTATAATATTATAAAATAAAGAACTATAATTACCATATGTTCATTTAATTTGACTAGACAAGGTCTTCCACATCCAATTACTAACTGATGCTCTAAATTAGGTATACAAAGCTTAGATTCACTTTCATTGGATTGTTCCTAAAAATTGAAATAGGTAAATTACATAAATTTATACAATTCAAATTATATTACTGAATGTTATTAAATATTAAAAATTATGAAAACTGATTATAGAATTCTTAACTATTTATCATTCATAATGAAATTATTGCATTTATAAATCCTTAATTTTAAAATATATATTGAATAAAATTTAATTATACTGTGTAAACCTATAATTTCAATGTTTTAATTGTATACAGTGTATTAAGAATTCTTTTAAAAAATTTCCGTTATCTTCTAAAGAAATGTACATTTGAAAATTAGGCTATTTCTACATATTAATTTAATAATGTCATATTAAATATTAAATAATTTAAACCCAGCTTATTTGTTTTAATAATCTTAACAATTATATGACAGAATGATGATCAACTTTACAAGTGTACTGTACTCTTGTAGAGTATATTTTTAATAATGTTCTTTTAAAATCTCAACATAATATATTGCAAGCTTGCTCAACTTATATTGGGGTGTGATCAACTTTCAAGAGTCAAAAGAATCAATGATCTGTCACATTTTTATTCTTTTCTAAAATTTTAATAATCCACCCTAATAGAACTATGCTACAAAGCATAGTTACATTTATTTATTGCATGGTAATTAATGTTCCAGGTTCTTTTTTTTAGTAAAGACATAAACGGCACCATCTATTTTTAACAACAAGAAAAAATTATATTTCTCTGTCATACAAATCACAAGTTTTGCTTCTTTTCAGTGCACTCATTTTGCACTTAACTGAAATTGTTTAGGGCAAAACATAAGAATTTCTAAAATGACCAATGATACAAAGAACACTTCTTTGTATCCACCATAAGTTATCTCAGAGTATAATATTACCAATCTATAGTGAACAGTTTAAAGATTTCTCTGTAAAAAATATGGATTTAATATTCCTATTAAAATTACAAGGGATTTATGAGTTAATGAACCATATTATCTGTTACTGACCAATCAAATCAGTTCATCATGATCATTTTGTTTCCCAGGTCTGATGTATGGTATTTATGATTTATTACATAGCAATATTATACGTAAATTTCTCTCAAAGTCTTCTTTCCGTAAAAATATTATTATAACTGTTATTATTTCAGAAAAGTAAAATAAAATTTATTTAATTATGCTAGAAATTGAGAATATATATTATTCATTTTTTGTTGTAAACTAATATTTTAAAATTTGAGACTTTATATTTGTTAATTAAATTCTGTATTGTTAATAAAAAGAAAAATTGGAAATTCTTAAAAATATAAACTTTCACGTTTGTAAAAATAAAAAATATATGAAAAATAGTTCTTTGAAATTCAGATGATTTTCTCATTGATAAAACAATTTTTATCAAATATTCTCTTGTCATACAACTCACATTCTGTTAGAGATCATATCTAGTCTATGTGAAATGAAGTGAAGAAATTTCTTGTAATCAATGAGTAAAATGATTTCAGAATTTTAAAGGACTTTTTCTGCATTTTCTATTTCCAGAAATGAATTTTACAGATGAACACACTAATGTTTTTAAAGATCCTAACATAAAATTCAAATTTTGAGTCACCAGAGCTTACAATACTGTTTTATTATGACATAATTACTTAGCATGAAATGAGAAATAATTTAAACTGTTACTTACTTCTTCAGAAGGAGATACTATTTCATCCCAATCTTTAATATTTTCTTCATTATCAGAGATTGGACTTTTATTAAGTTCCCCATTTGCTTCTGCTTCGACTGTTTCTTCAGCTTCTAATACCACTGTTTCTTCTGCTTCTAAATCCACTACTTCTTCATTAAACATATCTTTAGCTTCTGAACCATTAATAACATTATCATATACTTCAGTAGGTGTATCAGATTCCCCACCGCTTTCATCTATTCTAAAAATATAAAATATTTATTAATTATATTCAAACTGTTTTAAAAATAAACAATTATGTAGGTTTAATAAAAAGTAAAACATCTGGATACGAGTCCAATTTTTCTTGCCATGTCTAATCACCAGGATCTACAAACAAATATTATATTTTTAATTGTGTTGGGATTGTCACCTGTGGACATTTTAAACTGTTTTACATATTTGTGCAGAGGCATAGCCTCTAAAGAAAGGTTGTCTCTGCAATGGAAATAGTTGTTCCTGGTGATTAGACATGGCAAAAAAAATTGGACTCGTATCCAGGTGTTTTACTTTTTATTAAATTGTAATTCTGCCAGCCCTTTTCTACAAACAAAAATTATGTAGGTATCAAAAAGACTGATCTGTTAATGATAATTTAAAAATAGACTGATGAGAATCATAGGAAAGAAAATATTATTATTCTTTTTTATTTATAACACTAGAAACTAATGCTTTTACCAGATTAAACATCATATTTGCTGGAATTGTTAATGTGAGATTGTTGATTTAACCCAAAAGTAGCCAAAATTTACATCAGGACAAGTAGGAAGATCATAAATTATGTGAGTGCAGTTTGGACACTGAGTCAAGATTGCCATTTATAAGAGAATATGTTTAATTGAATAAAGATATGCTTACAACATTTCTTTTTATTTGTTTCCTATAAACATTCAGTTCCTAATATCAGTTTAAAGAGAGAGTCTGAATTTTGCTGTGTAGGTTGCTGATAAGTCCCTCAATGACTGACAGCTTATGAGTCAATGATTCTGGAGCTCACTTTGTCTAGTGAAATTGCAGATCAGGTAAGAACTTGGGATTAGTTGAGATGTTTGTCCACAATCAGCTGCTTGGGAAGCAAAATACAGGAAACAAATATTCCAATTAATCTATCTTTGTCTCCAGGTGACTATTTGACCTCTTGAACCATGGTTGAAATCAACATAAACATTAAATTTAATGCATTCCTGATGCCAATTGGATAGTATTTGTGAGGGACGAACAGACCCACAATAAAGTGTTATTTTAAATTTTAATTATTGGGAAATTCAATCATCTAAATTCGAGCGTTTTATCAAAATAGGCTAAAAGCCATAAAAATTATTTCCCATGGAGTTGAGGAGGATCCAGCTAGTCAGTGATGTGTCACCCGGAACTTTTGACAGAGTGCCCATATTGGAAGCCAAAACCTTAACAACAACCTCCTGGGAAAAACCCAAGAGGAATAACAAGAGAAAACGGAAAAAACACCCAAAGTCAGTCATCTTCCAAAGTCCGTCCTCCAGGATTTATACCGAGACCAAGACTCCAGGATTAATACCGTGCCTCTTTAAGGATATCATCCCCACTTCAGTGCCTTCACACCTCTGGGCTCCGATTAACAGACAAGATCCAGAACTATTTTGAACGAACATTCCATCAGCGGTGTCATCTGACCGCTGATATTCGACCCAAAAGAAAGGTATTTATCAACCCGCGATTCGTTTGTAAACTCTCTCTCTCGAATGGCCTAGTATAATTAGGGGGTATGCCAGAAATCGAATATATCTGTATTTTCCTTTGTTATAATTAAAATTGTTATTTATTTGTTACTATGGAGTCTGAGTGAGTCACTTCCTCGTCTCTCTCGTCACCTCTACTCCGAATCCAACTGCTCACCCGCTACCGCTCGCATGCATAAAGTCGCGATTTCCGAGTCCTGCGAGACTCGGTGGTGTCACATCCTGAAGTGGTGTCAAAGAAACACCGACCCTACGGTCACATATTTATCAAACTTTGAAATTCTTCCTCATAACTCAAACCTTTTGTGTTTACCTTTCTGATGTCAAGAATTTATAATCATTGGTGTTCTAATATCCGGAAGGAGTCTTCCGTATCCTGCCACGCCAAAAGAATATCATCTACGTATCTTAAATAAATTAAGGAGTAAGCTATGGTGAGAGGGAATTTAAAAACACTGTGTTCAACGCGCCGCATGATGAGTTCTGCCAATACAGCTGACAGTGGTGAGTGCATTGGCACCTCCTGCTTCTGCAGGTAAATCTTTCCATTAAAGCGGAAGTAATTGTGCTCCGTAATAAAGAGTAATGCTTTGTGAACTTCTAAAACTTGCTGTGCAGTAAAGCCCTCTTTGATAAGTAAGGTATTGGCTAGCATCACCGCTTCAAAGTGCGGTACCGAAGGGTACAACGCAACTACATCCATTTTATAAAATGTGTAAGTATCTGGATTCAAGCCAGCCAGCGTAGCGAATAACCTCTCTTTAGCCGTGACAGATGAGGACACTACTTGGGAGGAGGAAGGAAGCAGCCCACCTAGCAATCTAGCAAGCGCTTTTTCAAGGAAGTATGTAGGGTGGGACCGCTTATTGACTAAAGGCCTTAACGGCCAGCTCTCTTTGTGCGTTTTTGCTTCAAAGAAAAGTCTGGGGCAAGCGACATTGGATGGGGGGGTCCAAGCGTATAAATCCATAAATCCCTTGTAATGTATGCCACTATACACTTCATGTGGGAGAAGGAAGTTGGGAGAAAAATTGCTTTCTTGGATTTATAATCATTGCCATAAAATATTATTTAATTAAATAAATCACTTTGCTATATCCTTTTTTAATTTTTTGTCCATTTCCATTTTTTATTTCAAAGGTTGGAGTTTAACTGCCCAGTTGGACACTTGTTAACATTCTAGCATGTAATTTCAAATTCTATTCAGGACCTCACATTAAAATCAATTAAAACTTGCTGACATTGCTTTGACATAAAGATGAATTATGAATAATATAAAACATAAATCATTAGTGTTAAATTTTTACTCTGAGATTTTCAACAATATATGAAATTAAAAGTAAATGACTAAGCAAATAGTTGTGTTTGAGTAATCAAAACATCTGATATGACTGATTTTGGTAACGTCTGAAATATCCAATCCATAAATCCATAGAAATTCAATAAAATTAATAAAAAATTGATATGATATATGAAATAAAGAGAGACATAGTAGCAAAATTTAGGTTAGAGATGTAGCTTAAAATTCAAAACTTATTTATTTGTTATGACAACATTTTCAGAATTTAAATAATAATTCTTTTTAACTTAAATTTTTAGAATGTTTAACAGAAGTGCAGGTAATATGATACTATATCAATATAGCAGATCTTTCCATATTTTAGTGTGAATATTTTGGAACATTTATTATTTTAAGTATGACTTCTGAAACTGCAGTTATAATTTTCTGTAACATTAGGAATTATATTTGTTGGGCTGCAATTTGAAAAAATTGTAGACCTATACATTCCCACTGTTGCCTGTCCTTCTGTCCATCTTTCCTTAATTTCATGAATGGAGTTAGATGGATGAAATCCGAGACCAGATATGGGAACCTTAGAAGCAGGAGGTCCCAATTAACTATATAAGAACATCCGATACACGCCGGAAGTCATGTTATCTCAATTGAAAAAATTTTTCCCTGAAAGGTGTTAGTTAGATGACTGGCATGACTATTGCTAAAGGAAAGGTATGATGTTCAGGAGCAAGCCACTACTAATTTTAAGTGGAGAGCATATATTTTAAATGAAATAAATTAAAATTATGATTAAAAATTGCAGCCCAGCATTGTGACGACCTCACAATAAAAAAATTGCTAGTTTGTTACTAAAAAGTATATAAAAGATTAAATTCTATATTGTTTTAAGACAAAATTTATAATTGTAAAAGAGAACTTTTTAAATTAATGAAATTTAAATTACATAATAATCAGGCATAAATTTCATAAAGGTTAATCTTTATGAAATTTATCAAATTTCTGCCTGTAAACCTTAACTTAAATGGTATATATAGTAAAATTTAAAAATGATAAAAATCTGAAAAATTATTAAATGTTAAAAATAATTTTGCCTTTGTGATTCAGCAGGTCATTCTGATTGCAGCATTTTAGTTTCACCAAGATTATCAGATATCATTTATGAAACATTACTGCACTCAGTTATAGTTATATTATAGTTGAGATATATGTACTATGAATCAGCTACAGCTTAAATTTCAATTAAAAAAATTCTCTCTTAATTGAAACAGTTAATTATAATTTTGTTGTTGTTGTCGAAACAAAGTTAATTATAATTGTTAAATATCAAAATTATAAACCAGATTATTATAAAATTTATACAAAATTTATTTATTATTAGCAACAATAGTTTAACACATAATTTTTAATTATTTTTTATTTCTTTAGCACAGATGAAGTGTGATCAATCAGACATCAGGCAGTTTTTTCCATTCTTTATTCAATTTTTTTCAACTAAATGAAATTCAATAAATAAAGAATGGAAAACTGCCTGGTGTCTGATTGATTGCACTTCATTGTGCTAAAAAATAAAGAAAAAGAAAAGACATAGTTTCAAATTTAAAAATAAATATTAATATTTATATTAATACTGGTATATACAACTAGAAGAATGTCACGTAAGGGACTTTTTAACATATAATTTACAAAAAACAGCTATCTTTGAAACATCTTGCCTTCTATGTACTATCTGAGGTGTACTTAAGCATTGGGATGAGGTTCATGTCATCTGAGATTGTACCAGTCTGCAAATGCCCCAGTCTATATTATGACAAGTGTTAACCCTACCAGTTGTACTATAGACTGAGGCATCCAGCAATGAAATGATTTTGTGTGTGTGTGTGTGTGTGTGTGATCTATTAATTTATTAATTGAACTCTTCTGTACATATTTAATAAATTTTGTCAAACAGTTTATTTGCAATTTCCATGCTAATGATTATAATTTTAATTTCCAAAAATTTGAAAATAAACTCAATCACTAAATTCATCGAATTAATATAGTTTCACATTAATACTATATTTGAAAAATTTAATAAAATATAGACTTTTAAACTAAAATCAGTAACAAATACAACTTTGACATTACATTCTGGTATCTGTTAGCTAAGAATATGTATTAAGATAAATTAATATAAGATTAACAAATGTA